GGGGGGGTGATGTGTGGGTGTATGTATGAAAACGCAATAACTGACGACGAACATTCCCATGAACAATCTGGAAGCTATTATTACAATACAACAAGTCTTCGCTGTGTGATAACACTTGTTTTTACACACTCTTTGAGTGGGTAATTGGAAGGAGTCACTGGTGGTCCCTCTGTTTTTTTAATACTTTTTCTTTATTGTTTCTGTCTGTCTGTTTACTTTCTCGCAGCACTACATGACCTTTATTATGTCTATGGTTTTCTCTTTACTCACACAAATAAACAAACAAACAAACAAACAAACAAAGAAAACAAACACCCATCAATTCAGTTCGGGCCATAGAGAGACTGGGAACTACATAGTTAGAGAACTAGACAGATAGATAGATAGATAGATAGATAGATGGATGGATAGATAGATAGACAGATAGATAGACAGATAGATAGATAGACAGATATACATATAGATAGATAGATAGATAGATAGATAGATAGATAGATAGATAGATAGATAGATAGATAGATAGATACCATGGACCCACACATGAAGGCCAAAACACTAGTCTCACTTTGATCGAGTGTGTACGCAACCTTTACCTGACTAACCATCAACTGGTTCCAAATATAGTCACATAGTGAGTGCGGTGCGCATCAAGGTGAACCGGAATTACGTGGGTGGTTTTCGAGTATTGTGGTGTGATTGGCTCCTTCTTCCCTATCAAGCATATGTGGTCCTTATCTCTCCTTCTTCTTTTTAAGGTTTGTTACTCTCTTGTAACAACTCTAATCTTCGACACGTATATGACCTTATTGTTTAGCAAGTCGTTCGTTACCTCAGAATTACAAATTTCTATCTGCTCAGATCCTAGTTTTGAAAAAATTGACGTAAAAAAACTTTGAGTTTCACAATATTTTAAGCAATATTTCCGAATATTATAATTCTTTGATCACCCTGATAACGACTCAGAATCATCCTACGATTGTGGTAACGAAGATTAAGCATTTGATTTCAAATCTCATATCTTAGTAATTCAAAACGGTCAAAAATGCCAGATAGAACTTGGTAATTCTGAGGTAGCAAAGTGCCATAAAACTCTTACAAAAATTTTTAAAAACCAACAAGAGAACCGGAAGTACGCCAGAATGACCCGTCTTGGATCTCATACAAAACATCCTATGTACCAGACGACAGGGAGACGTACCTAACCATCAAATCAAGCATGGTGTACACCACAGGACTACCAACCAAAATGTATGTTTTGGACTTCCCAAGGGAATGGGGCCCCAACAAACAGCCTGGAAGACCTGCAACTTGAGATCACTCGGATTCAAAGCAAGAGGAAGGCCAAGAACAATCATATGAATCAACAGAGTCAAAGAGACCCACTAAAGAAACGACATGACGATCCAAAAGCCAACACACCTGTCCCACGTCCAACAAATATTACATCTCTTCTTTTTAAAGTACACGTTTTACGGCACTTGCAACACAATAAGGTCGTATAAGTGCCGAAGATTAGAGGTGTTACAAGAGAGTAACAAACACAAAAAGAAGGAGGGGAGATAAGGACGATAGATGTCTGATTGGAAAGAAAAAGCAAACCACCCCAGAGCACCCGCCAACCACCCACGTTATATCTCCCCCGGACATTTTGTGACACAAGAGAATAAAATGAGTAAGACAGTGATGCAACGTTTTACGTCATTTTAACACGTAAAGGTTGGATCACAGAAGCAGTAGATCTAATATCCGAAGATCTTCTCCTAATATGCATTTCCCTCTTGATCTCAGGGTTTGGACGTTTACCGGTTCTTCAACCTGAAGGGTGGAGGATGGGGGTGGGTGGAGGGGTTATTAAATAGAAGTAAAAACAGATGAGAGAACAGGACTAGAAAACAGGAAAGGGCTTAAATTGAGACAAATTTAGAGAAGATAATATCTTTTGAATAAGAGGCGAACACGTACCTCTAGACCACGGCAGCCCCTATATTTGAAGATGAAAGAATAAATCAACTTATCACACATGAACCTCGGCTACCGGTATCATCAACCCTTTCCAACAGGCCCAATCTTAGGGGATCCAGTGGCTAAGTGAGTAGTGAGTTTAGACTCAAGAGTAAAGTCAAGCAAGTGTTGGTGACACCTGGATCCGATGGGTGGTCACTGGAGTGTGTTCTAGAACAAGAGAGGACAACCCTAGCGAAAAAAACCCAGGGCGCTGCACAGTGGCGACCAATGGCATGGTCGTGAAATTGTTTTTTATTGGTTTAACATTATATTTTTTTATGTAAACATATGTGTATGTGTTTAAGTTTCAAAAGTATGTATGTATGTTTGCCATTGTAAACCAAATTGCACTTCTGGGAAAGAAAAAAACTGTTTTTAATTTTTTAATTTATATTCTCTCTCTCTCTCTCTTCTCTCTCTCTCTCTCTCTCTCTCTCTCTCACTCTCTCTCTCTTCCCCTCTCTCCATCGGCCCGTATATGACAAAATTATGTTGCAAGTGCCCTGAAACTCTTACTAAGACAAAACAAACCTGCCTTTCCCCTCCCCAGCCCCTCTTTCATTCCGTCCTTCTGTAGTCGTTTTGAAAAAAAAAGAAATCTAACATAGACCTCTATACATACCAGACGTCTCATGTTTACACACCAGCCACACAGTGGCCTTCACCTGCTACCCCCTGCATGTCGCTCTTTTAGAAATGTTTTATAGTTAAGTGCTTCATAAAACCTCTCCTAAAGATTTATATTTTGGATTCCTTTCTTAAATAACGACGACGTAAAGATTTTTATCAGCACTTCTCAGCATGTAACGGACCTGAGTACAGTTTAAGAGATATTATTTTTTAAATCTCTCTAGATAGATCACATTTCATTACTCTACCAGCGAAAAGGTTTCTGTTCACCGGCGAATTAAAAAAAACAACACTTTTTAAAGCTATATCATTAGCAGTCTCTAAGTATTTAAAGGTATTTCTTGGTATTCTTTGATATGATAAGTGTTTCACTTGGCTCACAGCCGCATAAGGTCGCAGGAGCGCACAGCTATTTCTGATCTGATCAAAAGTTTAATATTAGTAAGACGATTATCATGGTTCGTTAGAGACTAAATCTTAGCATTTTACAACCCCATTCACACGTCCATGGTGTAGGGGTGAGAGAGAGAGAGAGAGAGAGAGAGAGAGAGAGAGACAGACAGACAGACAGACAGACAGACAGACAGACAGA